TTTACAATTTGAAGTTTTGCTGCAGAGGGTGGGGGTGGGAGGGAGGGAGGGGGGTAGCACCCTGCTCATTAAGCCCCAAATTTTCACTTTTACCCAATTTGGGGTAATTTACCCCTGTTTCCCGGCCTATGCCTTAGAAGGACCCAAGTATGCAAACTTTTTTCTGAAAGCCTGATTTCATGTCTGGTAGAGTTTTCAAAGGAAAGTTATGGCTGAATGAGAACCTAAATATGCAAAGTTAAATTTTTTTTTAAATAAAAGAATTTAGAAAGTACCCGAAACCCTCTTTATGTTTTCAAGTAAAATGTTTTAAATGCTTAACCATATTCATTTTCTGGTGGAAGCAAAAGCACAAGCTCAATTTATCTTTTCAAATCAACCAGAGCTGATGTAATTGTCTGAGGCCTGCCCACAGGCACAGCCTGAGCTGGAAATAAATATACCCTCTGTCACATACTAGGGAAGGTTCAGGGACAACCATCTGTTCTCATGACTTCTCGACTAATCAGGGAATCTTTTGCATCAGATGTTCTGAAGTCTATACCAACAGAAGATAGCTTTCAGACTTGGCACTATAAGCAGTAATTAAGATAGATGCGATAGCTTGCATAAATAAACTGAAGGAAGTTTGTAGGGTGAGATTTCCCTATCTCTCCCTTTTCCCTGTAACCACCAATACCATCTCAGACTTTTCTAGAGGGTAAAAAGGACCTGTTGAGCAAAGTGAAGTGGGAGGAAAGACATTGATAGGGTAGGAAAAGATAGCCCAGTTGGGGGCTGATGTCTGACCATTTGGGGGTAAATTTCTGTGGCCGGCAGAGTGCTGTCCTCTGAAGATGCCGGCCACAGAGATTGGTGAAACGTTAGAAAGAACAACCTTCAGAACACAGCCAAAGAGCCCGAAAAACCCACAACAACCATTAGATCCTGGCTGTGAAAGCCTTCGCGAATACAAATTCCTGTTACCTTTAGCAGCTTTTTCATCCCTCATCCAGAAAATATTTGGAAAATATTTGCTGTTTGTTTGGGAAGATGAAGCTGTCTCAAAGGTTCAAATGTCATCTACATGGATATTGCTGCACCTTGTGCTGGGAAGCTTTTCCTGCCTTGCACTTGCTCTCATTAGGGAGAGTATTGGGCAGATTAAGCTTGGGAGAGTTACTTCTGATCTGGAAATCACAGTGGGAACTGGAAATCATAGTGGGGACTTCTCTGTGTGCTAGTGGAAATCTGATTTTTGGAGCGAGATGGGGATGCGTAGAGGAGAATCCCAACTGTTACTGTTAACCACTGTTTAGTGATAATGGGGGGGATTATCCTTTCCCTACTCTCTTGCCAGTTGGGATCAATTGAGGTAAGGGAGGTCTGTGGAGGTGTTGTTGGGGAAAGGGAAAGGTTGGAGGTGGCGTCCCCTGAATCCTTCATGGGCTAGAATGGAATGGCATTCAAGCTGAACCAGATTGGCAGGCTGGATGTTCTCTTTCTGCTCTATAATATCCACATACAGTGCTGCCCCGCATAACGAGCGATTCGTTTAACGACGAATCCGCATAGCGACACGTTTTTTGTGATCGCAAAAGTGATCGCATAACCATGTTTTAGATGGTGAAACATCGCTTTGCGTTGATTGGTAAGCGTTTTGCTTACCGATTTTCGCATAGCTATGTTTTTTCTAACAGCTGATTGGCGGTTCCAAAATGGCCGCCGGGCAAAGAAAATGGCCACCTGCACTGTTTTCGCACCCTTTCCTCACTTACTGGGCAGCGAAAATGGCAGTCGCATGGAGGATTTCCGG